ATAAAATAATCAGTTACATGGTATATGTTTAATTTTTGTTGAATTTGTTAAAAACAATTGTTTGACTGTTGCAAGAGTGAAACTACAATAAAATTAATTTCTTGTATATCAAAAGTCAATAAAATTCATAATGACTAATTATTTTCCTTTCTTACAATTCATAATAATAAATAAGATTATTTTATAATTACACCATATCATTCAGTTGTATATTTTTTGGAACACTGAAGTTTCCTACACGACTATGAACATCCACTGCGCGAACTGCAAAATGATACCTGAAAAAATATAAAATTAATGCATTTTAAACAAAATGACAGTGAAGAAAAATTCCAGTAAGAATAGTGCCTGATACATTTATAATTGGCATATAGATATCCATTATAAATTATGTAAAAAAAATTTAAGGAGTTTATTAACTTTCACATCACAAGTTATATTTTTTGGTTCACATAAAAATTTTGCATTTGCAATTTCTGGCAATATAAATAATTCAAAAAAACATTTTACTGGTATTGTCCAAATAAACACTGGTAAAATATTTGGGCTTTTTAGCATCACGAGTTTATTTTAATAACGCAAGTAGATGTATATCGACTCATCATTACAGTATAAACTTTGCAAAATGTACGATTATTGACAACGAGATTTTATAAAAAGTGAACTTGATTTACAAATTTTCATTCATGATATAAAACCCAAACCTAATTTAACGCAAACGTAACTATAGCACTGAGCTGTTGTTATTTATTGTAGTTAATTAACAAAATCAAAATTCTTAAAATAAAATTAGAAACACGGTTTCAAAAATAGAAAAACAAAATAAACACACTGAAATTATAATTTCAATATTTTAGAATTTAAAACATATGATTTAGAGGTGCAGGCATGCGCAAGCCTGAATTAGCAAAATTAAATGAATAAATTTTGAATAAAAAAATGCTTTTAGTTTATCAAGACTAAATGTGATTTTTTATTAAACTTTTCGCCGGTTTGAACATTTCTGCCAATCTCGGATTTTTAGAACTACTACTAAAAAACGCAATATACATAATTATTATCAAAGTGACGGGATATAGTAGGTTTAATTTTGTTGAGTATTTTATAACAAAGTATAAAAAAGGGTATCTAATATACAGATATATAAATTATAAATACTTGAATATAAGCATGCAAACAAATATGAAAAGAGTCTCTGTACAAAAGAGTTTTGCAAGCGCTAATTATTTACTGTGATGAAAAATACATAACACAGCATTGAGAAGTTTATTTATTTTAATATATTCAATTTAATGTTATATTGAAATATTTTTTATGGCAAGGTACCGTAATGCCACTACCATGTTTTGCTACTGCATCAGCCTTTCCCAACAACTAATAAGTAATTCACATTGTCTGTACAAAACAAATGTTTTTCACTTACACATCGCTTAAATATTTATCCAAATCTTGGCATTTATAATAATTTCAGATTTCTCAAACTTTTGTAAGTTACCTTACAAAAATATGAAGCTTAAGAATACTAGAAGATCACTAGCGACTAAAGATAGATAGCGATTTTGCAGTTGATTTGATTGTTTTAATTTTTTTGTATTTAAATGTGTATCTAGATTCTAGCTCATACCTAAATGTTTTCATGAAACATATTACTAAACAACACAACCTGTTTCCAAGAGTAAACTGTGTAAGTGTGCAAGCCATAGGAAGAGCCATTGCTTTTACATCTCCAACTTTTGCCAAAGATTCCCTTCTTGACATGCAAATATTTGGTAGCTGGCAATCTTAAACTTTTCGCCGGTTTGAACATTTCTGCCAATCTCGGATTTTTAGAACTACTACTAAAAAACGCAATATACATAATTATTATCAAAGTGACGGGATATAGTAGGTTTAATTTTGTTGAGTATTTTATAACAAAAGTATAAAAAAGGGTATCTAATATACAGATATATAAATTATAAATACTTGAATATAAGCATGCAAACAAATATGAAAAGAGTCTCTGTACAAAAGAGTTTTGCAAGCGCTAATTATTTACTGTGATGAAAAATACATAACACAGCATTGAGAAGTTTATTTATTTTAATATATTCAATTTAATGTTATATTGAAATATTTTTTATGGCAAGGTACCGTAATGCCACTACCATGTTTTGCTACTGCATCAGCCTTTCCCAACAACTAATAAGTAATTCACATTGTCTGTACAAAACAAATGTTTTTCACTTACACATCGCTTAAATATTTATCCAAATCTTGGCATGTTATAATAATTTCAGATTTCTCAAACTTTTGTAAGTTACCTTACAAAAATATGAAGCTTAAGAATACTAGAAGATCACTAGCGACTAAAGATAGATAGCGATTTTGCAGTTGATTTGATTGTTTTAATTTTTTTGTATTTAAATGTGTATCTAGATTCTAGCTCATACCTAAATGTTTTCATGAAACATATTACTAAACAACAAACCTGTTTCCAAGAGTAAACTGTGTAAGTGTGCAAGCCATAGGAAGAGCCATTGCTTTTACATCTCCAACTTTTTGCCAAAGATTCCCTTCTTGACATGCAAATATTTGGTAGCTGGCAATCTTAGCTTGATCGAGAGTTTCGTGTGGCATAGTCCATGATATTACAATACCCTGAAAATATAATAAATGTTGAAGTGCAATAAATAGTAAAAAATATGATTAACTTAATACTAGGGATTTTACTATATTAAAGGTCATGATATGAAAAATCACTTTATATTTATAGAGGTGATTTAGCTTTATCCTCTAATTTGTTTATTATAATAAATATTGATAAACTTTATTCATAACCCTAATATTGTTATAAAAGTATAATAAATAAAATTAAATTCAAAAAATATAAATCTTCTATATAGAGTTAAATTATGGAGATAATGTATTTTGTGTGATCTGATTGATTTATTACACAAGTAACGAATTCTTTTATTTCTATAAATTGTTCAATATAAATCTGAACTATAATATAATTAGGATATAAATATATTATGCTGAAAGATGAAGCATTATATATATATATATATATATATATATATATATATATATATATATATATATATATATATATACGAGGTCTGTTCAAAAAGTACCCGGAATTACTAATAATTAAATTTCGCGGGTCTGGAGTGTCTGATTGTCAAATTTTTTTTTATTGTGTTGGTATACATGCCCCTAAAGTATGATGAAATTTTCAGCTATATTCACTGTTTACTTTGTCTGTGGTAGTCGCTAAAGGTTCGACGTTTTTTTCTGAGCTCGGCGATTTTTACAATGGAAGAATTGAAAAGTCAAAGAATTTGTATTAAATTTTGCGTAAAAAATGAAATAAAGTGTTGCAAAGTGCTAAAATTCACCAGATATGGCTCCGTGTGACTTTTTCCTATTCCCAAAGTTGAAGAGACCCATGAAAGGACGGCGGTTTTCCTCGATTGAAGAAAATCGCTGAGAGTGCTCAAGGACATATCAAAAAGTGAATATCAAGGGTGCTTCGAAAATTGGAAAAAACGCTGGCATAAGTGTATTATATCTGGGGGGGACTACTTTGAAGGGGACCACATTAATGTAGACGAATAAATAAATATTTTTTTGAAAAAACGAAAATTACGAAAAAACTTTTTGAACAGACCATGTATATATATACACACATAACACATATGTTATGTAGATAAATTCCAACTGAATTATTTGTGCTCAAATAAACTGTTAAATTACAACTCTTTTAAACTATTATTCCTTAATAAAAAAGTATCTACTATTAATAAAGATTCTATAATAAATTGAATATTTATAAAATTCAGAGCATATTGTGCGTTAACATGTATTATTAATAACACTCGAGAAAATTTTACAACTTATCATTTCATTAAGAAACCACATAAGCTCTGCTCTATACCTGTCTAATGAAGTTATTCCAAATTATCAATCCATGAAATACCTAGATATGCATATTGATAGTAAACTAAACTGGAAAATGCACATAACCATGAAGAGAAAACAAATAGATCTAGAAGTAAAAAATTGAATTGGCTTATAGGGAGATTGGCTTATATTTGTCTATATAAGGGATAGAGCTGCAGGACTGTGCCAGCCAGAGCAACATTTTTGTAATTCAGAGAACCCAAACAAGACACTTAGAATAATCAGCAGTGGTCCAAAGTTTATGACCAACTATACTATTTGCAAGGATCTAAAAATAACTTATAGAAGGTTATAAGAAGCATAAGCTTAATTTTCAAAATAAATTGGATGCTTAAAAATCCTAAAATAAAAACAGTTCAATCAACTGCTGAAAATGAAATCATCCAGTAAAAATTAATCGTATTCCGCCTAGAATTAACTTTTATAAAGATTTTTATCATCATCCCTTCAATTTTTGAAAATTGTCAAAAAAAATGTCATACCCTGCTCTCATAAGGCTCAAATTTTGAGGGTGTATTCTTTTAACTGTTCAGGAAGTATATGTAAACAGCCAGCCCATTCTGACAATTGCAAGGGTCTGCCAGTCGAGTACATAATAGTCTCTCGACGCTTGTATTTAAATAAATTATACGCTATTTTGAAGGTCTTTTTGATAACATCCGATATACCAAACTTAAATTTTGTATCTCACCTTATGGCCGAATATCATTGAAAATGGCTCCCTTTCAAACTCAATTTTTGGCATAACCATGAAACATATCAAAAAAGAAATTACGTGATCCTACTCACATTGGCTTAGACCACATAATGTAGATTAATGATGCTAAATAATCATTTATTATTAGCTAAAAAGGATGAAATAATTTTTCAAAAATGTCTGGCTTTATGAAAACAGGTTAGTCAAATGTTCATTAGCTCTTAGACTAATATGTTTCTGACGTTTGAACATATAAACGGGAATAGAAGTAAAGAAAAATAGTATATATATAATTGCTGGTCTGCTGACTTCGAAACTAAAATATTCGATGAACACAAAAATTATCATATTACCTGCGCTACTTGATTAATCGTAACAGCGGGCCGCTGGGTTTGTTAGTCCTACGCGGTCCATACTGGCAGCTTGGCAGCGGTGGCAGACGTTTAGTTGTCATGAAAGTACCACTAGCAGCACTTCCAATTGAATTAGAACCAGGACTCGACCAACTCATTTGCGAGCTAGTGTTCGATGTAGATCTTGAATTCTTTCCATCTACTTTACCTACAACAACATTTAAACAATATGAACTTACTCTTTCTTAAATTTTGCTTCAATTAATTAAAAAAACAACAACCGAAAGAGAAGTTCGCTTTCGATATAATCCGATTTGCTAATTTTAAGCTTTCAAACAAGTCTTTCTTAACAGTTTGAGACAAAATTTTGTAAAATAATGTGTGTGTAAGTGAGCCGATTTTTGACCATTAGACAACGTTCCCGAAACCGGCTGAAGTAATTTAAAAAAAAAAGTCATTCGTTTTCGTTAAGTCATGTAACTCAAAAAAAACTCGATAAGTTTTTCAGACAATCAACCTGGACGTTTCCTTATAATTTGGAGAAAAGTACAAAAGTTTTGATTCACGTTTTCAAAAAAATTCTGATAGATTATAGAGATTCTGAAAATTTAAAAACCGTTGGAAATATATCATATGAGAATCGTGGAATTAGATTTTGGCAAAGAATGGCGCCGAACCGTTTCTTCTCAATTAAATGTTCAATATAATTTAATATGTCTATAAGATCTGAACAAACATCTTAAATTATTAGAGTCCTACGTAAAGCAATTGAATATCCAAAAAAAATCTGTAAATTTCTCTTCAAAATGCTTCACATTTTATAATAATGAGGTGCTGCTCTTAAGACATACAAATGCGTGATTGTTCACTACAGTTAAAATTTTATTGTCAATTTCTAAATAGCTGAATCTAACTTCTTAATAATTAAATCTATCTTAAGGCAAATGCTATCTGGTTTATTATCGATATGGTTGATTTCCTTTCTCATAGAATAAACCAAATCAATCAATATAAACATTTACAGTTTACAGTAGAATTAGAAAATGAAATTGCATTTTTCCAAGCTATTGCCAAGATCGAACTTAAATTTTTCTTCAACCTCACTTTTTTCCTCCAAACTAACAAAAACTAGTATTTGACATTTCTCGTGATTTATACATAAATTCGATATCTTTATTTTTTTATATTAATGAATAAAAATAAAAAAAAAAAAACCAAACCAAAAAATATTATTATCCGAAATCTCAAATTGAAATGATCAAAATAATGATTGTAAAATTCATCACAATTAAACAAATACTTTAGAAAATATAAATAGCTTACTTTTTTTGCTCATAGAACTTTCCTCCTCTTCTGCTGTGAGATCTATAATAAGGACATCACCTCTTGAATTTGATGAAGTTGTAAGAGCAGTAAGATTCTTTATTAATTTTACTGGCAATGGAGGAGTGGCAGTATTGAATTTATCTGGTTGTTAGTCAATGTCGTTTCCTTTGGTTGCGACTGATTTGGTTGCTTTACATATTGTCAAAAAATAAAATAATAAAATAAATGTATGGGCATAAAATGAATTGAGTAAACGCAAGGTTTACTAAAAGGAACGTACTATAGAAATGCACAAGCCAGAATATTAGCGAATTAAAAGTGAATGAACAACGAAAAAATGAATCAAGAAAGAATCAATTATAATGTGTAGATTAAGATTCAATCACGGATGTTTCTTTTCACATTTCTATAAAAATAAAAATGAAAAACGTCAGTAAATGACCATGTGGCGATTTTGAAAGAAATTGCAACATCTAGTTTTTCAGACAATCAACCTGGACGTTTCCTTATAATTTGGAGAAAAGTACAAAAGTTTTGATTCACGTTTTCAAAAAAATTCTGATAGATTATAGAGATTCTGAAAATTTAAAAACCGTTGGAAATATATCATATGAGAATCGTGGAATTAGATTTTGGCAAAGAATGGCGCCGAACCGTTTCTTCTCAATTAAATGTTCAATATAATTAATATGTCTATAGAGATCTGAACAAACATCTTAAATTATTAGAGTCCTACGTAAAGCAATTGAATATCCAAAAAAAAATCTGTAAATTCTTCAAAATGCTTCACATTTTATAATAATGAGGTGCTGCTCTTAAGACATACAAATGCGTGATTGTTCACTACAGTTAAAATTTTATTGTCAATTTCTAAATAGCTGAATCTAACTTCTTAATAATTAAATCTATCTTAAGGCAAATGCTATATCTGGTTTATTATCGATATGTTGATTTCCTTTCTCATAGAATAAACCAAATCAATCAATATAAACATTTACAGTTTACAGTAGAATTAGAAAAATGAAATTGCATTTTTCCAAGCTATTGCCAAGATCGAACTTAAATTTTTCTTCAACCTCACTTTTTTCCTCCAATACTAACAAAAACTAGTATTTGACATTTCTCGTGATTTATACATAAATTCGATATCTTTATTTTTTTATATTAATGAATAAAAATAAAAAAAAAAAAACCAAACCAAAAATATTATTATCCGAAATCTCAAATTGAAATGATCAAAATAATGATTGTAAAATTCATCACAATTAAACAAATACTTTAGAAAATATAAATAGCTTACTTTTTTTGCTCATAGAACTTTCCTCCTCTTCTGCTGTGAGATCTATAATAAGGACATCACCTCTTGAATTTGATGAAGTTGTAAGAGCAGTAAGATTCTTTATTAATTTTACTGGCAATGGAGGAGTGGCAGTATTTGAATTTATCTGGTTGTTAGTCAATGTCGTTTCCTTTGGTTGCGACTGATTTGGTTGCTTTACATATTGTCAAAAAATAAAAAATAAAATAAATGTATGGGCATAAAATGAATTGAGTAAACGCAAGGTTTACTAAAAGGAACGTACTATAGAAATGCACAAGCCAGAATATTAGCGAATTAAAAGTGAATGAACAACGAAAAAATGAATCAAGAAAGAATCAATTATAATGTGTAGATTAAGATTCAATCACGGATGTTTCTTTTCACATTTCTATAAAATAAAAATGAAAACGTCAGTAAATGACCATGTGGCGATTTTGAAAGAAATTTGCAACATCTGATTTTGAAGTGTAAAAAATATTATATCTCAGGGATATATATTTTCAAACAAAATATTCAAATTAAATATTAAGAAGGTATTTATTTTGACTAGCTCGCTTTGTTAAAAAATATAATGTAATGTATATAAAACTATTATCACGTAGAATATTGTATATAACTGTAAATATTAATTATAGAATATAATGTAATAATGTAATAAAAATCATGTAAATTGCTAATTTGGAAATAGGAAGCTAAATAAATTTATAAACTAGTGGTGCATGGCATCGTGCCGGGAAATTACCGTAACTCAGGGATATATATTTTCAAACAAATTTTCAATTAAATATTAAGAAGGTATTTATTTTGACGAGCTCGCTTTGTTAAAAAAATATAATGTAATGTATATAAAACTATTATCACGTAGAATATTGTATATAACTGTAAATATTAAATTATAGAATATAATGTAATAATGTAATAAAATCATGTAAATTGCTAATTTGGAAATAGGAAGCTAAATAAATTTATAAACTAGTGGTGCATGGCATCGTGCCGGGAAATTACCGTAACAGTATTAAATATTCGAGGAAAAATATCTGTAATCAATAAATATTAATCAATGATTAATAACAATTGTTTTAAACATTTTCAAATGGATTATAATCACTATAATATTTTATCGTTCATAAATATACAGTGACGGTCTTAATCGCTCAAAACCTTGAGAAATTTTACATTAGTAAGAGGTGCCGAATAAATCCATCTGAGGATTTCTTACGATTAGAAAAACGCATTTAAAATATATCTCTTTCAAACTGAATTGAAATTTAAAATTCATATTTGAATTATAAAACTTTGTATATTTTTGAAAACACCCTTTTTCTAAAAATTTTGAAATAGGCTTGAACCGTAAAGTAATCTTATTAACAATCTTAGTACGGAATCCAACAAAAATGTAACAAACTTAGTACTCATTTTTAAAATTATTATTAAATATCTAATAATTTGATGTGCATATGTCTAATAATCATTTTTGACCGCCAAATATAATTTTTTTTTTACTTTTTTCTCTGTATCTCCGAAACCGCTTCACCTGCTTCACAAAAAATTTCATCAATTCTTCATTTCGTCGTCAAAATACAATGAAATGTTTTTTGAATCAATCAAATCAGGTACTTCGTTCTCTTCTCTCAAAAACTGAATTACCGTTTTTGGCACTTTTGTGCCCGTGTCTTTAGTTGCTTGTCTCCACCAAAAACTAATCAGTCTGAATAATTGAAATCGATTGATTCGTGCACAACACACCACACACACACACATACATAATTTCTTTCTAAGGTATATCAAAATGTTCAGCAACCTTCAAAACGTGAAGATATGCAAACATTTTCATTTTTGATTTTTTGCGATTACTATAACTTACCCTGCAGAGAGTTAAAAAGGTAACGAATGCAAATCTTACCTGTTTTTGAGAGTTTAGCGATTGCTGATTTGTATCCGCAGTATCATCATTATTTTTATTAGATCTTTTGGGGTTGAAATTTACTATTGAGCTTCCTGTTATACAAACCTGCAAACTACAGATCTGAAGTTGAAAATAATTTTATTATTTACTGCAATGATTGAAGTCTGTATCAAAAATTTTGCATACCTAGTTACATAGTGAGGATGAACGAGTAATTGACGATTTCGCAATCTTGCCATATTTATACTTGACATGCACTTACCGTGCAAGAAATCAAGGTCTTTACATGTTTAGTGGCAATTGTAAGCTGCGATTCAAGTTTGCTTACACCCGTTGCAAACCATCGATTAGGTCGCGCGCGCGTTGCAAATCACTTCCTGCATCGATTGCATCGACAATTTTTCCTGCTACAAACCATTCATATCCTCGCGGGACATCCCGACCAGACTATCTCGCATTAAATCATATGTTTTGAAAACACACGCTCAATTCTATCGCGCCTGCGTTTTATTCTTTCATCGCTCTCATCAGTCTTTGTGATCGACCGTGTTTCATCATCATCTTCAATGCTAATAGTATCATCAACTTTCATTCTTTTGTTAGAGGAAGAATCTTCATCGGTCAACTCATCATCTCCTGTACGCTTTGCCTGTCTAGAAGTCATTTCCACCTCTAGAAATGAAAATCATCATAAACATTTCCACCTTTAGAAATAAAAGCATCATAGTTAGTAGACAATTTCATACTAATAGTTTACTAATTGAAATAAATTATTATAATTAGCGACTTTGAATAATACAGGTACAATATTTAACCCTAAGAGCGTCTTACGTTCAGAAGCGATGTCCGCTTCTGTTTTAATCTAATATAATAATCCTTTAACTATGTAAACGATTCAAACTGTTTGAAACTAAAACCTCTGATTTGACAAATCGTTTTCAATGAGCTTAAGGGTGTATTCTGGTCCAGAGGCATGAATTTTATGCGTTTTTTGTAAGATCGTAAAAAAGAACTTTTTGTAAGATCGCAAATTATCATATTCAATATCATATATAGATATAATTTTTTAAATAAAAAATAATGACCTGTGTTGTGGTACTTGTTTTAGGTAATGTATCTTTGTTTCCAAATTCCAATGTCATTATCGCATTTTAAAGAAATTAATAAAATAGGTAATAGACTAAGCAATATGATAAACTAATTTTAAATAATTTTGTGCAAACAAGGGCAATATTACTTATTTAGTTATTTATTTCAAAAATTGAAAATTGAAACTTTTGTTTCGGTTAGCATTTCTGTGTAATATTTTGATTTGTTCACATACTTGATTAAAATAATAAATGACATTTATAAATTGTTTTCATAAAATATGCGCGTCTTGACATCTAGCTTAATATATTTGATACATAATTATAAAATATTTCTAAATTTAGACATTTAAAAGCAATTAATGATAATTTACCTTGTGAAGTTGTAACAAATTCTGTGAATTCACCTCAGTCATTGAATCATTATTGGATTCATTTTGCTCCTGAAAGCCATTTTCATCTATATTGTTTTGGTTCGAAATAACTGTAGATTCTGATGAATTAACCTCACCATTTGTTATTTTCATTCTGCTTCTTTTCTTCTCCCTAAGAAAATTATTGACTGAATTATTATTCGCACTTGCGAGTTTGGTATCAACCGAAACATAAATATTTGGTTTTTACATATAGAGTTAGTTACATATATTCTCTATATGTAACTAACCAACGTAATATCCACTGATGATGACATTAAATTGAATGTCGAACGTTTGGAAATGAAGATTATTTTATAAATTTTGGCTTTTCTTTGTTTGATGTATCGCCCTCAAGAACTCACTCATATATTTCAACATCAAAATTAACTACTAAATCATATATATATATATATATATATATATGTATTGAATAAAATTTGAAAATTTTTCCATGCTATTTCCATACAAAACTTTGATTGAATTGCGCTCTATCAGAATGTTAATATTAAGAGCTAAAACTTTCAGAGAATTGTTTTTCATCTATTTGGAACCATTTGAGCCCCTGAGAGCAAGAAAATTCGAAAATGACCATTTTAAGGACCACGCTAATATATATATATAGATATATAGAATTTTATGATATGAGTGGAACGAATATTAATTGTTTAATATGAACAAAACAGCACTCAGATTTGTTTAACACAACTTTATTTTATGATTACAGACGTTTCGAGACCATGGTGTGTCTCATCTTCAGTGTAATTTCAAAAACAGTTACTTATATACTACACATTCTTTAATAATTTATTTAAATTTTATTTAATTTTTGGTATACAAAAAACACCAACTATTCCTTGCAATGCTTGACACAGTACTAAAGAAACATTTAACACTTACAGAAATATTCTAAACAAATTTGAAGTACTTATATAGATGGAGACAGAGAGGGTATCATTATAATGTAAACAAAAGGAGTGCTATCGCATACAAAAATCGATAAAAATGAAAAAACAAATTAATTTATTGAAAAGAATAAGATAAATGAAAAAATTTATAAATTATTAAAGATGTTTATATAAGTGTCATGTAAAATATTTGTGTCGGTTCTTAGATTTATGCTATTGTTAGTCCGAACTATTAACATTGATTCTGCTGAAACTAAAACCTCTGATTTGACAAATCGTTTTCAATGAGCTTAAGGGTGTATTCTGGTCCAGAGGCATGAATTTTATGCGTTTTTTGTAAGATCGTAAAAAAGAACTTTTTGTAAGATCGCAAATTATCATATTCAATATCATATATAGATATAATTTTTTAAATAAAAAATAATGACCTGTGTTGTGGTACTTGTTTGTAGGTAATGTATCTTTGTTTCCAAATTCCAATGTCATTATCGCATTTTAAAGAAATTAATAAAATAGGTAATAGACTAAGCAATATGATAAACTAATTTTAAATAATTTTGTGCAAACAAGGGCAATATTACTTATTTAGTTATTTATTTCAAAAATTGAAATTGAAACTTTTGTTTCGGTTAGCAATTTCTGTGTAATATTTTGATTTGTTCACATACTTGATTAAAATAAATAAATGACATTTATAAATTGTTTTCATAAAATATGCGCGTCTTGACCTATCTAGCTTAATATATTTGATACATAATTATAAAATATTTCTAAATTTAGACATTTAAAAGCAATTAATGATAATTTACCTTGTGAAGTTGTAACAAATTCTGTGAATTCAACCTCAGTCATTGAATCATTATTGGATTCATTTTGCTCCTGAAAGCCATTTTCATCTATATTGTTTTGGTTCGAAATAACTGTAGATTCTGATGAATTAACCTCACCATTTGTTATTTCATTCTGCTTCTCCATAAGAAAATTATTGACTGAATTATTATTCGCACTTGCGGAGTTGGTATCAACCGCTTCCAATAAATTATTTGCGTCGAGCGTTTGATCAAAACATTCATTTTCATTCTCTTCTGGAGACAAAAACTCTTCACTTACATTATCAGAATTCCCATTTTGATCATTTTCAACGCCATCAGAATATAGAAAATTAGTTTCCATATTAACGTTATTCGTTTCAGAACTACCGTTCATGCTTACATTTTCTATATCATTGGTAGATTCTGTACGATCTGATTGCTTAGGTTCAGACTTATCAGATAGGTTAGAATCCAAGTCGCCACCTGTAGTTGCATGATTACTTGAATCATTCGAATCCAATATTCCTTTTTCAAGCAACTTGGAATCTGTTATTGATTCCGAACATAAAATATTTGTGTCAGCTTTTTGTTCCTTTGATTCATATGATGATATGTCATCCTTACCTTCTATATTTACAGAGTTTTGTGATTCATGAACATTGTGAACATCATTAATGATTAGTTCATTTACTTTAATATTTTCCACATTATTTCCATTTCCCTCCACAAAAGATTTCATATTTGTTTCGGCTATTACTACTTCTGTTACTTTACTGGTAGAATGGTTAGAAATATTTGGTTCTTCTACAAGTGAGTGACTATTGTCGAATTTATTAGGTTCTACACCATCTAAAAATTATATGTGGTATCATGATATATATATATATATATATATATATATATATATATATGAGTGAGTTCTTGAGGGCGATACATCAAACAAAGAAAAGCCAAAGATTTATAAAATAATCTTCATTTCCAAACGTTTCGACATTCAATTTAATGTCATCATCAGTGGATATTACGTTGGTTAGTTACATATAGAGTTAGTTACATATATTCTCTATATGTAACTAACCAACGTAATATCCACTGATGATGACATTAAATTGAATGTCGAAACGTTTGGAAATGAAGATTATTTTATAAATCTTTGGCTTTTCTTTGTTTGATGTATCGCCCTCAAGAACTCACTCATATATTTCAACATCAAAATTAACTACTAAATCATATATATATATATATATATATATATATATATATATATATGTATTGAATAAAATTTGAAAATTTTTCCATGCTATTTCCATACAAAACTTTGATTGAATTGCGCTCTATCAGAATGTTAATATTAAGAGCTAAAACTTTCAGAGAATTGTTTTTCATCTATTTGGAACCATTTGAGCCCCTGAGAGCAAGAAAATTCGAAAATGACCATTTTAAGGACCACGCTAATATATATATATAGATATATAGAATTTTATGATATGAGTGGAACGAATATTAATTGTTTAATATGAACAAAACAGCACTCAGATTTGTTTAACACAACTTTATTTTATGATTACAGACGTTTCGAGACCATGGTGTGTCTCATCTTCAGTGTAATTTCAAAAACAGTTACTTATATACTACACATTCTTTAATAATTTATTTAAATTTTATTTAATTTTTGGTATACAAAAAACACCAACTATTCCTTGCAATGCTTGACACAGTACTAAAGAAACATTTAACACTTACAGAAATATTCTAAACAAATTTGAAGTACTTATATAGATGGAGACAGAGAGGGTATCATTATAATGTAAACAAAAGGAGTGCTATCGCATACAAAAATCGATAAAAATGAAAAAACAAATTAATTTATTGAAAAGAATAAGATAAATGAAAAAATTTATAAATTATTAAAGATGTTTATATAAGTGTCATGTAAAATATTTGTGTCGGTTCTTAGATTTATGCTATTGTTAGTCCGAACTATTAACATTGATTCTGCCATGCTCCGTTTAAATAAGTCTTTCTCATGGAATAAAATTTGGGGATTGTCAAAATCAAACTTATGGTTGTTGATATTAGCATGATCCACAAGTGTACTTTTAAATTTTTTGTTATCTATTTTTTCACATTGTAATTCATGTTGCCTGAGTCTCTTTTCTAAGTTCTGGCAGGTCTGGCCAATATAAGAGCAATTACAATCCAAACAATTTACTTTATAAACTATATCTTTCTTTTTTGTTAATGGAGTTTCATCTTTAATTTTGGAATATAAAAATTTTAATTGTTTTAATGGAGAAAAAGTAATACGAATATTGTGTTTTTTGAAAAGTCTTTTTGATAATTGGTTAAAATTATTGTCAAGATATGGAAAATTAATGAAAAAAGTTTTTTCAGGAACACTTGTTTTGCCAGGCTCTTCCGGTTTCTTATCAAAAGGTTCAAGTAATTTTGCGACTCTATTTTTAATAATTGGACAAATTAACTTATATGGAAAATTATTGCCAAGTAGGATCGTTTTAACTAATTTTATGTTTGTATCATAAAACAGGGGATCAGATAATAAAATAGCGTGATCTACAAGATTTAGAATGGTAGAAATTTTTATATTGAGAGGAACATGCGAATTAAAATTAATGTATCTCCCGGACCAACTATCTTTTCTGTACCAGTCTGTATAACATACACCGCCTCTATTAATGAGTTTTACGTCAAGAAAATGTAACGTCGAATCATTTTCAAGTTTCTGGGTGAATTGTAAAAAAGAATTGTACTCATTGAATTTGTTGAAAACATTATCTATATCTTTTTTATTAAGTAATATTAATGTGTCATCGACATATCTGAAATAGACCATAGGTTTGGAAGGTAAAGAATTTAAGACATGATTTTCCAAATCTTGTAATACTAAATCCGCCAAAACAGGACTTAATGGGCTGCCCATTGGACAACCTCTCTTCATCGTATAATATTTTTTATTAAAAGTGAAATATGATGCTTTTAAAAGTAATTCTATTCCTGAAATAAAAATTTCCATCGGTAAACAAGTGAATTCAACTATTTGTATCCATCTTTTCTTTATAGCTGTAATAATTAGATCATGCGGAAGATTATTAAATAAATTAATGACGTCAAGACTCATAAAGGAACAATCAGGAGGAATTACTTTATGTTTTATATGTTCTATTAACTGGAAAGAGTTATTTAAACGGTATGGAGAATCTATGGTGACATTCTTTAAAATATCTGAAAAATATTTGTATTGTTTTTGACAATTTTTGCAAGTGGATTTTTTAAATCCACCACCCCTCCTAAATTCAATACTAACATAGTTTATTCCATCCCTTGCAAAAATTGGCCAAACATCGCAATACATTCATAAGAGAATGAGCCAACACGAATTAAGCGTCACTCATCATAAAAGCCGAAATTTCCAAAGTACTCTTGTTCAGCATTCATCGAAAACTCACATAATTTCACCTTTGAACCCAATATTTTATATAGAGAGGATTGTACTTTTAAAAGACTTTTTTCTGAAAGCAGTTTAATCTTTTTGAATTCGTCAAATAGTGTTAATAAAAGATCAGATCACTATATTATTCATGACTCATATCTAAATTTTTTAAACCTGATTAAAAACAATTAATCCTAATAATTTTTGAATATGTATATATATATACATGTATATATGTTGTAATATATGTACATCCATATATGTACTTATATGTATGTTTTTGTGTGTACACTATATACATGCACTTGCATATATGCTCATGTATATAATTGTGGATACATTAATATATAGATATGTGCATTTGTATATATGAGTATGTGGGTGTGCATATACATGTGCATGTATATATGTATATATATACATAATATTTCTCAACATTTACTAAAGCAATATTTCCTCTTTTTTCGTAAATTACCAAACAAGAGCCATAAAAAATCATTTTTGCCAAGAATTCCGTGCATTGTTCTTTACATCTGGCAGACAGAAATCCATATCAGTGTGTTTAAGTCTTGTGTAGTCGTAACATCTAAAAATATCTTCCAAAAAAAAAAAAATCGAGTGTTTTTAACAAAAAAATATTAGTGATATGGATATATAAATTATTACAGGTAAATAATTTTTGCTTCTCAATTTTATATAAAACCTTTTTTAGTTAAGTCTTATTACTCTTTACCCCGGTACATAATCCATTCCTTTATAAATTTTTTTTTTTCTAATTAATCTGTATTGACCATCGTTAATTAATGCTAATCAATATTTTTTTAAAAAACATTGTATTTGACAGAATAAACCTGATGATGGAACGTACCTAGTTCCGAAACGTCGTATTAAACATCTTCAAAAAAACAAATTGTTTTTTATTATTGGATTTACTGTTCGGAAAAGAAACAATCAATATTTGAAAAAATCCAGGACTTATCTATTGAATATGTATATATGTATATATATATATATATATATATATATATATATATATAATTTAAATAGGTTAAAATATTGATTTCATGCTTGAGCTCACAATTGTCTTTGAACAAAAACTGTAACAGTCATAAAATTATCTATTTTATATCTATCTCTTGTATTTCAAGAGTTTGTAAAACTATAATATATATAATATATATTGAAATGAATAAAACAGCCAATGCGTCGAATGTAAACAATTTAATTTATTTTTTATACGTTTCGAGACTAGATGTGTCTCATCATTCAGCTAAAAGAAATTTACAATATAAAGAAAAGGTTTCAAAAAAATGAATTTATACAATGGAAAAATTAATTGAAAAAACAACAAATTATACACACCAGATCAGGAAAAACCCACTTTACTAAAACATTTTACAACACCACAATCACATGACACTACTGTAGGAAAACAAAAATAATTTACGAAAAGACCGAAAAAGGTAGATGTAAAAATGTATAAAATACATAATTATTTGTTTTCAAAGCATAGCAACACGAATGGACTAAGAATGCGTCGAGAGACGTGTAGACGGCTATGCGACCAACACGCGTGCATGTGGGAAGGGATATCAGGGGTGTAGTATGGCGTCAGATTTACAGAAATTAATTATATTTTGATAACTTTCTGAGAGTAAGCTAGAAGAACTGCGTTTGTTAACACAATTAGAATGTAAAAAGATGAAACATGATTCGGAAAATCTTCTAAGGTCTACATTTTTTTCTTTATATAAAATTATAGGATGGTCAGTATTAAACGAATGTTTGAAATTAATAATGTGCTCAGAAAACATTGTTTTAAATTGTCTAGGGTTTTTTGAATTATAAATATGTTGATTCATTCTCTTGCTAATGTATTGGGAACTTTCACCGATATAACAACTGTCACAATCTAAACAATTAATTTTATAAACGGCATCGGTGATTCGGTCAGACGGAGATTTTGATTTTAAGGTAGAAAACAGGGAACTGAGTGTGTTATCAAAAGTGAAAACTAAAAGAAAACCTTCAACAGAAAAAAGTTTTTTTAAAAAATAAGAAAAACTACCCAAATAAGGTAAACAAATAATGCCTTTATATTTGCTAAATAAAGAAGAAGAATTTGAATCGGCAGTAAAATATTTTTGAACAACGGAAGTGACATTATTATTATCAATATTGGTAACGTTTAAAAAATTTAACCTATTTTTAATTATATTATTGATTAAATGTAAAGGATAAGAGTTATTTGTGAGAATGGAGCGGACTAAATCCAAATTTTTATTCCAAAAAGTTTTATTGCTTAAAAATATATATATATATATATATTTATATATATATATATAAATGTGTCATTATAATGATATAGATCTGTTATGCCTAAAGGCAAGTAGTTAAA